ATTGACCTCAAAATTTTACATTGTAAACAAGGGTTTAGATGTTGCAGTTCCTGCTCTGGGATGCCTATGGGTTGAAAAGCACCATTCAAGTGGATATGTAGCACTTTGGTCATTTGGGTATTTTGTAGTAATTTGCCCATGACTAGTGGGGAGAACCTCAGTGTTACACCATCTAAAAAGATGCATAAAAACCATGGTTGTCTCTGAGAGCTTTTATGTCTGAGCTGGACATAAATATGTCGAAGAACATCCAAAGGAAGTAACTGGGCTCAGAGAAGGCTAGAGAGGACCAGAGTTTCAAGATTAGGAAGAAGGTTCCTTCAGAGACTCCCTTGCCCTAATGCTGAAGACTTTTTAAAAAAATATATTTATTATATTTAAATTGATAGATAAAATTGTATGTATTTATTGTGCACAACATGATAGTTTGAAGTACATATGTGTTACGGAATGGTTAAATATAGCTAATTAACATTGCATTACCTCACATAGTTATCGTTTTGTGGTGAGAACACTTAACATCCACTCTCAGCATTTTTCAAGATCTCATTAACTTATTCTCCCTATCTAACTGTAATTTTGTATCCTTTTAAAGGTATGTGAACTGTATTTCAGTTTATGACCTACAGAGGATCTCAAATCATACCTCTTGAATTGATGGATGGGTGGTGTCATGACTTCTTGCATGCATAGATGGATGTAAATTTTAAGTCTCATTTTCTCTGATGAAGTCACAAGGGTGCTTTCCAGCCCATGTTAAGTTAGCTTTATAATTTATTTTGGGACAAAAGTAGTATGAGTCACTAAAAACACAGTGTTGGAAATTATATTGTACAGGGTACTGACTCTGCAGAATTATCCCATCAGAAGAATGTTATGATTTGTGTTAAATGCCTGTCAGAGGATTCTATTAAGAGCTAAGTATTCAATATAATCCACTATGTATCAGAAAAATAAAGATATACATCTGAATGTCAACATACTTTGCATGTGCTCTAACTCCTATGCAGCAGGTATGAAAATGGTATTCATACAATCACACAAGAGAGTGTGTTCACACAAGCACCAGCATCTGAAGTAGCTCAACTAAGGGCAGAAGCTACAAAAAGCCTATGTTTACCACTGTGAATAAGGAGCCTCTGGTTCCTACAACAGTGTTCAACCTGTCAGACTATGACAGTACTTCTGCTCTATGCCTAGTTTTAGGTTTGATTTAGTAATTCACTCTGATTATATAATTATTTTCCATGTTACACTCATCGCTCGTAAGTTCTTACCTTCATTGGAACTTTTCTTATGTTTTAGGACACATTAATTTAAAACAATCTACTCACTGTTTTGGTATTTTATGATTTGGACTCTAGAACCTGAATAACCATGCAGCCCAACTTGATGCAACATACACTGAATTTTAAAAAATCTATTTTTACATTAAATGTTTGTAAGTACAAAGTAGGTGTATATATTTAAAAGATACATGAGATGTTTTGAAACCGGCATGCGATGTGAAATAAGCACATCATGGAGAATGGGGTATCCATCCCCTCAACCACTTATCATTTGTATTTTAATACAAAAAACATTATTTATTTTAGAATATACAATTATTCTTGACTATAGTCACCCTATTGTGATACAAAATAGTATTCATTTTTTTCTAGATTTTTTTGTACCTACTAACTATTCTCACCTACCTGCAGCACCCCCACTACACTTCTCAGACTCTGGTATCCATCCTTCTACTCTCTATGTTGATGAGTTCAATTGTTTTAATTTTTAGATTCCACAAATAAGTGAGAACCTACAATATTTGTCTTTCTGTGCCTGGCTTATTTTACTTAACATAATGACCAGTTCCATCCATGTTGTAGCAAATGACTGAATCTCATTATTTTTTATGACTGATAGTATCTCATTATGTATACATACCACAATTTCTTTATCCATTCATCTATTGAAGGACATGTAGGTTGCTTCTAAATCTGAGCTATTATAAACAGTACTGCAACAAACGTAGGAATGCAGATATCTCTTCCATATACTGATTTCCTTTCTCTTGGGTATTTACCAAGCAGTGGGATTGCTGGATCATATGTTAACTCCATTTTTGGTCTTTTGAAAAACCTCCAAACTGTTCTCCATAGTAGTTGTATTAATTTACATTTCCACTAACAGTGTGCAAGGGCTCCCTTTTCTCTACCTCCTCACCAGCATTTGTTATTGCCCTTCTTTTGGATATTAGCAATTTTAACTAGGGTGAGATGATATCTCATTGTAGTTTGATTTACATTTATCTGATGATCCATGAAGCTGAGCATCTTTTCATATGCCTGTTTGCCATTTCTACATCTTCTTTTGAGAAATGTCCACTCAAATCTTTTGCCCATTTTTAATTGGATTATTAGATTTATTCCTATACAGTTATTTGAGATCCTGTATATTATGGTTATAAATCCTTTGTCCAGTGCTGAATGTGGGGTGCTGCAATGTCCAGCTATTATTGCACTGGGGCCTATCTCTCTCTTTAATAGTATTTAGTTTGTATATCTGGGTGCTCCAGTGTTGGGTGCATATATATTTAAAATTGTTATAGGCTTTTGATGAATTGACCCCTTTATTATTATATAGTGACATTTTTTGTCTCCTCTCAAAGTTTTTGTTTTGAAATCTATTTTTCTTTATTTTTAAAAAATCTTTTATATTAAGTTCAGGAGTACATGCGGTGCAGGTTTGTTTTACAGGTGAACTTGTGTCATGAGGGTTTGTTGTACAGATTATTGTGTTTTCCAGGTATTAAGCCTGGTACTCATGAACTATTTTTCCTGATCCTCTCCCTTATCCCATTGCCCACTCTTTGGTAGGCCCCAGTGTCTGTTGTTCTCCTCTGCGTACATTTTTTTCTAACTTTTAGCTCCTGCTTTTAAGTGAGAACATTCAGCATTTAGTTTTCTCTTCCTGCATTACTTTGCTAACTATAATGACCTCCAGCTCCATCCATGTTCCAACAATGGAGATAATGTCATTCGTTTTTATGACTGCATACTATTACATGGTATATATGAACTACATTTTCTTTATCCAGTCTACCATTGATGGGCTTCTAGGTTGATTCCATGTTTTTGGTATTGTGAACAGTGCTGCAGTGAACATACGCAAGCATGTGTCTTTATGATAGAACAATTTATATTCCTTTGGCTATATACCCAGTAATGGGATTGCTGAATCGAATGTCAGTTCTGTTTTTAGGTCTTTGGGGAATCACCACACTGTTTCCCATGGTTGTTGAACTAATTTACACTTCCACCAACAGTAAATAAGTGTTTCTTTTTCTCCACAACATCACCAGCATGTTATTATTATTATTATTTTTTTTTACTTTTTAGTGATAGCCATTCTGATTGGTGAGAGATGATATCTCCTTGTGGTTTGAATTGCATTTCTGTAATGAACAGTGACGTTGAGCTTTATTTCATATGCTTGTTTGCCACATCCATGTCTTCTTTTGAAAGTGTCTGTTCATGTCCCTGGTCCACTTTTTAATGGTGTTGTTTTTGTTTTGCTTTGTTTTGTTTTGTTTTGCTTCATATTAGTTCTTCACATTCAAATTAAATTTATTCTTGGGCATTTTTATTGTTCTCTTCCGTTGGGACAGATGTTTTCTTTCACTCCACTTTTGTCCTCCCTAGTTAGCTGTATTTCTAGGTATTTTATTCTCTTTGTGGCAATCGTGAATGGGATCATGTTTCTGATTTGGCTGTGAACTTGAAGGTTATTGGTGTATAGAAATGCTTCTGGATTTTGCACATTAATTTTGGATCCTGAAATTTCCTGAAGTTGTTTATCAGATCAAGGAGCTTTTGGGCAGAGAGTCTGGAATTTTCTAGGTATAGAATCATATTGTTTGCAAACAGAGCTTGTTTGACTTCGATGAAAAACGTAGTGTAGTTAAAGAAAACATCTGTCCGCAACGGAAGAGAACAATAAAAATGCCCAAGAATAAATTTAATTTGAATGTGAAGAACTAATATGAAGCAAACAAAATCATTGAGAAGGATACATAAAAAGACTTGAGGAATTGAGGAGTGGCTGTTTCTTGGACAGAGAGATTCTAAAATAAAAAGACGGTTATTTTCCCTCAGTTAAGATGTAATTTAAAAATAATAATTAGTATCTCAACAAGAATATTTTAGCACCTGATCAAATGATTCTGAAGTTCATCTGAAAGACAAACGTGTTAGAATAGATAGAAAAGGAGAAAGCAATGAGGGAGGGCAAGCATTATGTCACATTTCTAATATAATTAAGCGATAGTGATTAAAATAGTATAGTAGTGGTACAGGTATAAATAACTCAATGAAAAAAATTAAAAGAGAGTTACATACAAAATTCAGTGGGGATGTAGGAGATGATAAAGGAGCCATTTCAAAACAGTGGGTGAAACAGGGATTCCACAAATAATGTTAATTCTCTACCACTTTAGCTTTGTTCAGTTAGATCCATGATTTTGGAGGTACAATAATGTAACAAAAACCGATGAATCTCTTATTGTATTGGAGTGGGTAAGATCATTGCAAGCATGATAGCAAACTCATGAAGGAGGCAAGAAAATGATTTATGAGAGGATATGTAAAATAGGTATTAAAATATTTAATATTTATTTCTATCATGGTGAATTTTTCTGAAATGCATTATTCCCTTAGAGTAATCTGGGGCCCATATTCTCCAAAGCCATTGGAAGTGAAAGAAAGGTTGGGTGGGGGATAAAGAAAAGTGCTTTGCAAGTTCATTTTCGTTGTCAGGAGAGCTTGCGGTTTAGGTTCTCCATAGAGGTGGGAAAACTTCAGTCACGTGGTGAATGCCCCACTCAGTGCGCATGCGGCACAGACCTGTTGCTGCGCATGTCTGTTGCTAGGCTTGTCTGTTGCTGCGCATGCGCGTTGCTGCCCATCTGCGTCGACGCAGAGTTCTGTAAGGAAAAGTCTTGTCTTCATTCGTTTCGCCATCTTCATTCTTTCTTACTGACTGAGACTCAGCCGGTAGGTCCAGTAGATTGGTCTTTTGGGGAATTTCGTTGTGAGTGAATGTGAGTAGCCACAGACCGGTACTGTGGCACAGTCCGGTGGCTTCTGAGGGAAACGTGCCTCTTGGCTGTCAACTGGCTCCTCCCAGGTCGTGACACCGCCATGGGTCTTGCTGCTGGGCTGGGATGAGGGAGGAAGGTGAGCCGCAGAGGGGGAGGCACGTGAAGATGGGGCGAGTGCTGAGAATGCTGTTAGAGGTGTCTGAGTCCTGAAAACTCCTGGAACCCTCTGAGGGAGGACAGTTTCCAGACTCCTCGGTAGGGACATTGTGGGTGGTAAGGAAGGGGCTTGGGAACTGGGAACGCTGTGGGCTGGTGACTGCAGCCCAGAGGTCTGTAGAGTGCCTGGCAGAGGTGTCCTGTGAGGAGCATAACCTTCACTGTGTCGCAACTTCTCACCTCCGCCATGGACATCATGGGAATGAATGGGCGAAGTTGTGCATTCCAACAAACCATGATTTTTTGGGAGGCGAGGGTTGGCATGTGGAGAAATGGACCTAGTAAGTCAGAGTTGGGCGAAGGCAGTAGTCACTTCAGTTTCAATTCTTGGCCCATATTTTCGTAAACGTGTTCATGATGGCGAGTCTAATTGTGAAACCAAAACTCTTAAAATTTTAAAAGTCCCCTTTCTTTTGCTATGGCATTAAGGTGATTTCTATGCTTGTTTCACGATGATACAAACAAATCTGTACTATTTTGATTGGAAAGCATGCGTGCTTATCATTGTTCCGTAACTCATTTTGAAAATACTTTCAAAATTAAAAAAGTACAAATCATTATTTTGCTATGGAATGTTCATATATATATATATATATATATATATATATATATATATATATAGCTAAGTTGCTACACACATTTTTCATATAACAATATTCTATTTTCAGTGGTAACTATGAGTGAGCATGTGAGAACAAGACCCCAATCCTCAGAAAGAGGAAATGACGAAGAGTCTTCCCAGCTGGCTGGACCTGCGATTGTGAGTCCTTCAATGTTTGATGTTTTCTCTTAACACAATTTAGTTTTAAAAATATTTCTGAGCTAGTGTACATGAACTGATAAACGTCTTCCATGCTGATAAAAAATATTAATGGCATCTCATGAAGGAAACTTTGGTTCAGGAGTATTATATTCTGGTGTTGCCTGTATGGATATGGTTATGGATGTGGATATTTCACTATGTATACATATGTATATGTAGTGGAAACTGTCATTAGACTTATGATTGACTTATTATGCACATATGCATTGTGTGTATTAATATTACTGACTTTTTATTTGCATACAAACTTATACCCTTAGGTCCAGCAGCCTACTGAGGAAAAACGTCAAGTGGAGCCACCAACTGAAACTCAGGGTATTGCACCCAGTGGGGAGATGAAAAATGAAGGCGCACCTGCTGTTCAAGGTGAAGGGAGAGTGAAGAATAATGATTATGGGCGGTGGAGGTGTATTAATGCATTATATTTTATGAGATAGCAGTAACAGGAGGACAGAAAACATTAGGAAGGAATCTTAAACATTTCCTACTGCTGCTGTGGGGAGGGGTGGGACAAGGATGCATAAAAAGCCACAAAACTTTTCTACCGTTTTGATGGAGGTTTTTTATTGATTGGATATTTGCGTGGTTGCCATAAAACTGAGTATTTTCCACAGCTCTTGTGTGGTTTTACTCTACCAGTTTCTGCTTTTTTTTTTTTTTTTTTTTTTTTTTTTTTAATGTTTCTGTGGAAGAATGGCAGCTTGCAGCTTCCCAGTCTGTCATTTGCTGACAGCTCATGTATTTTTTTAAGATAGTTTTTTCACACATTTATTAATGCTTCCTCATGCCACATAATATACTAAGTGCTGGAGATGTCAGTGCTAAATTTCTGCATAAAACTCATAGTCTAGTAAGACTGACTCAAACAAATCATTGATTTAATGTGCTAAGTATAACAAATGAGTACAAAAGGGACGAGTAAGTTGTCTACGGCCAACTTTGGGAAAGGAAAGGAGAATCTTTGAAAATCTCTGCTTTCCTGTTTTTTGGCAACAGACTCCTGAAATAATTAGCCTACAGGTTTTTATTTCACAATGATGAGGGAATAAATATTATCATTTCCTCATTCATAGTTCATGTTTTAATTTGTAAATTTATTACCTTTTTATCTTTAAGAGCCTGATGTGGAAGCTCTTCAACAGGAACTAGCTCTGCTTAAGATAGAGGATGAGCCTGGAGATGGTCCAGATGTCAGGGAGGGGATGCTGCCCACTTTTGATCTCACTACGGTGCTGGAAGCAGGTATGTTATTCATTAAGATGCAAATTATAGGGTTTCTATTTTCACAGTAATATATTTTGCATGACACACAGGTAAAATTACTGCTATTTTAATATCATGCTTCACGTATAACAAGTCTTTGAAGATAGCTCAGACCCCAAATGGTTGCCTTACACATTATCAGAGATAGAGGGCCAAGTGTGGTGGCTCGTGCTTTTAATCCCAGCACTTTGGGAGGCCGAGGCAGAAGGATCACTTGAGGCCAGAAGTTCAAGAGATAGAGAAAAATTGGGTCAAAGCTAATTGAATTACAATATGAAAGATATGAAACATGCTAGGAGAGTAGATTTCACGTGTCTTCACAGCTGTGTGAAGTAATGCACAAATTAATTAGCCATTTCACAATATATATATTTAATATATATATATTTATATATGTATATAAATATATATATATTTAATATATCATGTTGTACATGATAAATATATATGATTTTATGTGTCATTTTTAAAAGAAAGATATGTAAGTCATTTAACCAATAACCAACAGTTTTCACATATTTTGATAAAGGCCTGTTTTTAACAAATACATAACATGTTTATAATAATCATCAATTTATATTGTGATGTTAACTATGATGGTAACGGCTTGAAGCAAGTGTGGGTATTTAGTTTACTGAATAAACTGAAATGCTTTTAAGCATGTCAAGAGGCAAAAGTACCGGTGAAAATAGTGACAAATGTTCACCCTACTTAAAGCAGCTGTATAATGGCTAAGCCAGTCCAAAGTAACATTTTTACACGTTTCCACAAGAGACACAAAACAAATGTAATACTGACTTTTCTATTTACTTCACTTAGGCAGTTCTAAGCATATTCTATATTCAGAGTGTTATTTCATATCAAAATATTTAAATGGTACTTTTTTAAAATTTTTTTCCTTAGGTTTTTGTTTAGTTGAATTTTTACTGAAAGTGTATGCATGTTTTTGCTTTCTACTTATACATAAAAATAGATTCAGTTGATTTAATTCACTCTGAACTCTGAATAGTCTCTTTGTTTCCTTATTGTACTAGAAAAAGTGGCATGAATTAAATACATTGTTAATATGCCTGGAAGTCTACTTTCAGAGTTTATTCAGAGGCTAACTGGATGTAAGCTAAAGGGTCACCCTTAAGGTTCTGATTTTAGCTAATCAACATTGTAGTTGTATACCTCTAGTGTCATCTAAATAAAAATCTGCCAAGTAACATGCCCTAATTTTATATTTGTATTATAGATGAAGGGCAACCAGAGATTTAAACCAAGGCAAATGAAGACTGAAACCAAGAATGTTGCTCTTATGCTGGAAATTTTACCGCTGACATTCTTTTAATAAAGTTTTACATTTTTCTGCAAAGAATTCTTGCACACTTTTGTTAAATTTATTTACAGGTTTTTAATACTCTTGAGAATTGTATCTATTTTGAAGGTTTAAATCCTGTGTTTGAAATGGTATATAGAGATAACATATTGGTACGTTGATTTTCTATCCTGCAACCTTGCTGACTATGCTTATTAATTCCAAAAGTTAACCTCTAGGTCCTTTTGGATTTTTAACATATACAATCATATAACCTTTGAATAATAACAGGTGTGGTTTTTTTTTTTTGCCATTTTTAACATTATTCCTTTTATTTACTTTTCTCATTCATGTTAGTGGACAGAATTTCCCAGTACAATTTGAATACAATTGGCAATTGTAGACATCCTTATCTTGTTTCTGATCAGAAACAGATCATTTTCCACATTTCACCATAATGTTTACTGTATTTTTCTTGTAGGTGCAGTTTATCAGAGTAAGGAATTTCTATTCCTGGTTTGCTATGAGTAGTTATCTTCAGTATATGTTGAATTTTATCAAACACTTGTAGTGCATCTATTCTGATGATCATAGGACTTTTCTTTATTAATCGGTTTCTGTGGTAAATTACATTGATAAGTTTCTACATTACATCTCTGAGCTCCCATTTTCATCTTACCATCCCAATAAAACAGTTCTTCAACAAAGGACTTCATTCAGAGTCCACAGTGCTTAGGGAATGCCAGGGAATTATATATGTTAATGATTTTTACCCCTACAGAGTTTTAAGTATATTCCTTTAATCCAAAAAGATTTAAAATCTATGGTCCAAATTAAAAAATTAGCCTAAATTTAAAGGTATCCCAATTTGCCACAAAATATGTGAGGCGTCCATAAGCTGAGGTAAAGTTTCTTGAGTCCTATCTGTACTGTCTCTTTTTGGCCAAGGTATGAAACAGCTGTGGGTTTCCATCCTGGTCCTGAAATATACTGGCTGGAAAATGTACTTAAATTGTTCGGATCTGCTTCCATATTTCTAAAATAGAATTGTAATGTGTATACTAAATTACTGCTATCATGAATAAGTGAGCAAACCTATATGGAGGAGATATTACATTATAAATAGATTTATTTCATTAGTTAGATTACATTTTTCATTAAAATTTTCTTTTTTGCATTTTTTAACCTTTACAATTATAGTTTTAGCAAGCAACATTGCTTTTGAATTTCAAGTAGGGGATATCAAATTAACTTTTTTGATGAATTTGAGTTAAACTGATTTAAACTTTCTTTTTCTTTTTTTCTTATTACTTTTTTCTTTTTTAAATTGAATATATTAATTGAATGATGTAGTTGGCATCAGGCCTGGCATCAATTCTAAAGTTGGTTTCCAAGTTACCCATACCTGGCTGAATCTGCCATAAGTATTGCTGTGTGCTGAAAACTGTCTCTTGAGGTGTGTGATGCCAAGGGAGGTAAGTCAATATTCTGATTATGCACCACCTTATGACTCACTACCAGAGTCTGTCAAGTGGTCAAGCGGTTCCTAAGCAGCACTGCAGTTTCTAACAGCCACAAGCATCACTACCGGTATTACTAGGTTGGTTTGTCACACTTCCATAGATTTGACTTGTAAGATGACAATGTGCTTGATAGATCCAAACATTTTATTAACTTACAGAGAGAGAAAAAGCAAGATCAAATTGTGTCAGCTCCCTGTGTCTCTAGTTCTACAGCATGACACTGAATCAGATGTGCTCAGTGACAGACAGCCTGGGTCAGGCATCCCCAAACTTTTTACACAGGGGGCCAGTTCACTGTCCCTCAGACCGTTGGAGGGCCGCCACATACTGTGCTCCTCTCACTGACCACCAATGAAAGAGGTGCCCCTTCCTGAAGTGCGGCGGGGGGCCGGATAAATGGCCTCAGGGGGCCGCATGTGGCCCACGGGCTGTAGTTGGGGGATGCCTGGCCTAGGTGGTGGGTCTCTCTGCCGGCGAGGAGCCCATAGCCATACTCTATGACAGTAAGTAGTCTTGTAGCCCACAACTAGACCCTAAGTTTGGGCAAGAAGGAACGTCCTGTGCCCAACTGAGACTAGGGAGATGTATGAATAATGGCCTTGTGTCAGGCTCCAGCAGTATAGGGAGGTAGGTGAGAAACTGCTTCATGGCAGCTACTTACCATGCTGCTGTTTTTCCCTTCTTCCAAAAGGAACCACTGGGTGTTCTGCCAAGACTCAGCTCCATCTATAGTTAAGCCTATATACCTGGGCCTATCTGGTGAGATGCAGTTTCCAGGGCACCACGGCAGAGTCATTCCCCTACAAGGTTTGGCACCAAAGACTGTACGTATGGGACCTTCAGATGACATCTACAATAATGACTCCAAAGTGTGGGAGATGCTTTCCACTGCTAGGGTCATTATGAAAGATTAATTTGATACACATGGCATGAATGCCTGCCATGTTAAGGAAGTGTTTGGGATGCTGAAATTGAAAAGTACTTGCCATGAGGGATACCACACTTTTGTTTGAGAAACAGCCATATAAATAGAAAAGCAGTTGAAGAGCAGAAGAACACAGGCAAGGGGCCCATAAAACAACAAAAACAATGAATACCGTAGCCTAGAATCAAGAGTCAAAGGGAAAGAATGATTGTGAGAGTAAAACAACTAGATTGGACTTCCCATATCTGTTGATTATTGGGTTTATATTCTTGATTTTTTTTTTTTTGCCATAAGGTCGAGTGACATTTATGCCTTACACTTATAGATACTAAAATATCCAGATAGACAGTCTTGTGTTGATTCAAAAAATGTTTACTGATGGACTGGTCTATCCTTCAGCCCCTTTGGATATGAGAAGATCAGTGAATTGGCCAATACAGCCCTTAACTGAGGGCCAATCTGACCAGGATGTCCAAGATTTGTTATGAACATAAAGATAGGAAATGTGCTAGTACTAGGCACTTCCAGACAAAGTGTGGGGTGAAGGCTAGAAACACCTGCCTAAGAGAACATAAGTTTAGAAAGATAGTTCTGTGATTTGTCATTTGCGATGTATTATTCACAGTAAGCAAATTGCTGGTTTAATAATGGCATATTTGGTTAAGTGGGTAGCATATGTCACAAACATGAAGACAAAAACCCAAAACTTGTCTGATAACCTGGGAATCAGTCTTTGGACATTAGTCTAGACAGACGCTAAGGACATAGGAATGGTTCATGCAGGGTAAGAGTTCTTAGAGCTCAGAGTCTAGTTAGTAGAGAACCATTCAGAAGATTATGACAATAGAAACGTAAAACAAGCAATGACAGGGATGAGCCGGGGGATGCTCAGAACACAGAAGCTGGCCCTGTATGTTGAACAATGAGAACACATGGACACAGGGAAGGGAGCACTACACACTGGGGTCTGTTGGGGGGAAATAAGGGAGGGATGGGGAGGTGGGGAGTTGGGGAGAAATAACATGGAGAGAAATGCCAGATATAGGTGAAGGGGAGGAAGGCAGCAAATCACACTGCCATGTGTGTACCTATGCAACAATCTTGCATGTTCTTCACATGTACCCCAAAACCTAAAATGCAATTAAAAAAAAAAAAAAAAGAAGCTGGCCCTGTAAACCCAAGTGGTTGGGAGGAGCTTCTTCCAGGGGATGATGTGTGTGCTCTAGGTAGTTTCACTGTAAAAAACTTTTAATCTCTCTGGTTATTATTCCCCTTTTCATAAAAAACATAAGTCTCTCAACTCAATTATCTTTTTAATAGATGAGGTAGCTAAGGATCAGAGAAGGTAAGTATCTTATTCAAGTTCAAATCTTTGACCAGTGGAACAGTCAGTTTTCAGCCCTTTCAGTTTACATGCATCTTTTATTATATTAGGTTGGTGCAAAAGTAATTGCAGTTTTTGCTATGAAAAGTATGAAAAGTAACGGCAAAAACTGCAATTCTTTTGCACCAACCTAAATAACAATCTTTTCGTTCTTAATACTGTTTTTTTTTGAGAAAGAAAAAAAAGAATAATAAAAAGAATAAAGAAGAGGAAGAAAGAGAAAGAGGAAGAGGGAGAGAGAATGGGGGTACTGCTTTATTGCCCGGGCTAGAATGCAGTCTAAATATGGGTATGCCTATAATTGTCCTTAATAATGGAGACATAAAATAAAATGAGGGAAGAGAATAACAAACAAGGAGCCAACCAACATTTCCTTTAAACTTCTAAGTTGATATGATGTGGTACTGATAAGAGTGTATATTTTGTATATTTAAAGTGGAGAGTTCTATAAATGTTAATTACGTTTACTTGTTCCAGATCTGAGTTCAAGTCCTGGATATCGTTGTTAATTTTCTGTCTCATTGATCTGTCTAATATTAATGTTGAAGTCTCCCACTATTATTGTGTGGGAGTCTAAGTCTCTTTATTAGTCTTATATGTCTGGGTATTCCTGTATTGGGTGCGTATATATTTAGGATCTTTAGCTCTTCTTGTTGTTGCATTGATCCTTTTATCATTATATAATGTCCTTCTTTGCTTCTTTTGATCTTTGTTGCTTTAACAACTATTTTATCAGAGGCAAAAATTGTAACTTCTGCTTTTTATTTATTTATTTTAGGTCTCTGGTTGGTAAATCTTTCTCCATCCCTTGTTTTGAGTCTTTGTGTATCCTTGAATGTGAGATGGGTCTGGATGCAGCATACTGATGGGTTTTAGTTTTTTATCTAAATTGTCTGTCTGTCTTTGGATTGGGGGATTTAGTCAATTTAAATTTAGAATTAACAATGATATATGTGAGTTTAATATTGCCATTTAATATTAGCTGGCTATTTTGTCCATTAGTTGATGTAAATTCTTCATTATATTGATGCTCTTTTTGGTATTTTTTAGAAAGGCTGATACTGTTTATTCCTTTCTATGTGTAGTGGTTCTTTCAGAAGCTCTTGTAAAGCAGGCCTGGTGGTGATGAAATCTCTGAGTGCTTGCTTGTTCACAAAAAACTTTACTTTTCCTTCACTTATGAAGCTTAGCTTGGCTGGATGTGAAATTCTGGGTTGAAAGTTCTTTT